CAGCTTACAAATTAATTAATTATGATTAATCACCATTCGAACTATGTCCAAAATATGTCATTTCTTTATGTATATTGTTGTGGTAATGGAAAGATAAATGAAAGAAGGCGGATATATCCATTTAACATGTTTATTGTAACATTTTTCTGTGTGTCAAAATGAAAGAGAGATCCTATCAATCATTAGAGACATTATCAAAGATGTTCTATTGAGAAGACGATCAGTGTGACAAAAGTTTTCAAAACCGTTTCTGGTCTTCGGTATTTCCAGACAAGTGGCTACTGAAATCAATCTGACTAACTACTGTCTGTGCAATTTACTCCGCGCGAGTTGGCAGACTTTATTTTTGCTTACTTTAACATCATTTTTCATGGTGGGGCTAAGCCATTTATTGGTATGGGTGTAGCCTATGGTGGGATGTATGGGGGGGGGGGCATTCTGCACATGCGTTAAATGCGTTAAATATTTTTAATGCAATTAATTCAAAAAATTCATTACCGTCGTTAACGCGATAATTTTGACAGCATTAGTTTATATATATCTATGATTTTGTGCGTCTGCTGCTGTGGGGAAACTATGGAAACTACAGTTCTCTATACAGCGGACTACAACATGGATGTTCAATAAGAACGAGGGACTACTGTAAACTCATCTAGAGACTCTGTGCTCTGATGCTGCTGCTTTATGCTTTATGAACGTGGACAACAGAGAAACAGATTCTTCAGGACCAAAGCTGGAATTGAAATAAAAAAGGAAAGTTAAACTTATGCTCGTCACCCTCTCCCTCCGGTCCACATTAATACAAATGATCCCAATACGTATGATTGATGAAAAGATCTTAAATCAATACAGATGTATTTATTATAAACGTTAGTCCTTAACATCTATCACTGTGTATATCACCATTCAAACATCTTTTAAAAGTTGAACAAACCCCACACAGCTCAGTAGAGACAGTGAAATGTTAATAATAATAATAATAATAATAGCTTCGATTTCTATAGCGCCTTTCAGGGGACCCAAGGTCGCTTCACAAGTAATAGTGCAAAGACAAACATAACAAAACAAAAGACAGACAAACAGAACAACAGATCGATTTAGGGGCCGAAAGCCTTGGCAAACAGATGGGACTTGAGGGCCCTTTTGAAGGCTTCAAGTGTGGGGATGTTGCGTATCTCCGCAGGGAGAGCGTTCCAGAGGGTGGGGGCTGCCACACTGAAGGCTCTGTCCCCGTAGGTTCGCAGTTTGGTGCGGGGGGTGGTAAGCAGGCCAGAGTCTGAGGACCGTTGACTTTATTTGATAATTTCAGTAAAAACTAACGTTCATATTTCTCTTTTTGATTATAATACTGATGAAGGTTCAGAACAAAGCACTTTGGCAACTTACCACATACGTTTTAAAATGCTTAATAAGCACCGTAACTTTCATGATATCATTTCTCCGTCATAATCGGTTGTGTCCGTGAACGGCCGACTGTTGTGTGACGTCAAATGCTGCGGCTGCAAGGCATTGTGGGGCAGCATTTTCTCCTCTCCTTTCGGTTAGGGAGGTCCAGTGGTTCCTAAGCTAAAGGAGGTTGTAAAGGAAGTTTGAAACCTCCTTTCCTTTCATTTGGAGAATGGGAACGGCACTTATCATGGCTGCCACTGAGGTACTTCCGGGTCATTTCACTCGGTTAGGAAGGTTCCTAAGCTAAATGGACTATTCGACTTCAGCCCAGGTATACTCGACATTGAGAAATGGCCAGAGTCTCTCAGGTGTTTAAATCGCAGCAGGTTCAGGGTCAGCTTCTTCCCCAGGGCTGTTACCCTGCTGAACTCTGCCCGCTGATAGACTCAAGCCCATACCCACCACCCACCTGTTTATATATTTTACTGTCAATGCCGTTTACACTGTATATATTCATCTGTTTATAGCCTATTTATAATTATTCTATTAATATAAAATTCCATGTATAATTATTCTCATTATGTAGACTCCTGCACTGCTATTTTGCACTTCTGGTCAGATGCCTAAACTTACATTTCGTCACTAGTACATGTACTATGTAATGACAATAAAGTTGAATCTGAATCTGAATCTAAATGCGATTATTCATTGACTTTGAAAACATCCATTTATTGGAGAGAAAACTATTTGAACAGTATGTTTTTAACAGTTGAAACCCTTAACTTTAAGTATAATTCAACTGAAAAAATCCCAAAAAAAAAGAAAAGTAATAATAATCATAAAAAAATAATCGTTTTATTTCGATTACGTTGTTTTCGTAATCGTTGCAAGCCATAATCATAATCACGATTAAAATTCGATTACAATACGATTAATTGAGCAGCCCGAATGGATACATCTCAACACCCATATGAAACAGAACTGTAAACAGATTTACTATTTCTTTATGGATATTTTACAAATCACTCCCCTTTCAAGACCGAAATGTCTACATGCAGAAGATGGCATATTTTTACATGAATATTCCAGCCAATCTCTGTTTTGAAACCATGAGCTGCAAAATGAGCCCCCACTGTACAGGCGAGTTGGGTACTTTTTTAAATATACCTGGGCAGGCTCTGTTTTGCCGAGGTCCTCTGGCACTTGCGGGCCGCTGAGGGGTGGCGGTGTTTGGGGCAACGAAGACGGCTGCTCCGCCTCCGTGGGCGAGGCGGGCAAAAGCCGGCGAGTCGGGAGGGAGGGAGGACGTTAGTGTCCACGACAGATGCCGCGGGTAACGTAATGTCCCCATGATCTGAACTGTTATTACCTGCAGTAGATGCAGTGTTACTGCTGGCAATAAGGGCTGGTTGTTTTAACCATTTTCTGATGTCCATCATTGACTGCTGTGTAAGCACCTTGCAGATGACGAACGCGCAGCGGCACAGGTCACACGCACCTGACATAATAACGTTACTTACCGTTTAAAAAATCGACCAAATAAATGCAGCAGACAATGTTATTACCACAATTACATATTTATTTTATTTCAACTATATTCTTCTTTTTAATATTATTATTATTACTATTATTATTATTATTATTGTTATTATATATGTAATATATATATTTTTTCACTTTTCATTTTTCAAATGAGGGTGCATAACGACTCAACTGAGGGTCCAATGCACCCTTATGCACCCCCGTAGAACCGGGCCTGGCCTGATGCCTCCCCTCCACATCAGTAGCCCTCCTGACAGACTGACCCCCATCAGCCTGAACTCCTCTTCCTCCTCACAGGGAACTCTTTAAACTAACCTGCTCTCTCTCTGCTCTCACAGCTAGGAGGCCATCTTGTTTCCCAGCTTTAAACAATCACACGTTCATCAACTCAAGCGTTTCTGAGAACACAACAATCAACAACGTCAACCAATCACAGGTCTACTTACTGAACTGTTAGCCGTGAGATTTATCCATGGCGTTGTCTGCTGCATATGCTGACATTTTGTTCACATCTAGTCCAGACATCTCCAGTTTAGATAGCAGCTGATTTGTTATAGCTTCTGACTTCTCGTTGCTATCACTGTAACAATCCAACAGTGCATGTTGCACGCCCTCCTCAAAGTGAACATCTCAGTACAATGGGGAAACACCTGATCGTACCTTTGTTTCACCTTGACTCAGGTGTTGTACTTCAGTACAGCTTTTAGGTACTTTAGTTCACTTCATTACCTGCTACTTTATACTTCTACCATTCTACATCAAGTATTATACTTTTTTCTGCAGTACATTTAAGAAAATGTTACGTAAACGTTTCAGATCTAGATTAATAACAATAAATATAATCACCAAATGATCATGCAATAACTATATATTAAAATATGATTCCTTGGTGAAATTCACGAGGTACTATGTACTGTATACACCATTTATTTAATAAAGAAAAGCTCCTCCTTTACCAGCTGTAATACTAAAGTGAGCAGACAGTCATTAATGAACATTATTAAATAATGTGACATATATTATTATGAACATGTGCAGAATGAGTAGACTACTTTACGTTTTTTTCCAATGTTTAAACTTGTACTTTAGTGAAGTGTTGAAAAGAGGACCTGAAACAGATTATTATCACACTGTGGTTTCACTAATGTTTCAGAAACTAAAGATCTGAGTCCTTCGTCCTCCTCTGAGAGAAACCAGAAACCAGCTGCAGTTCCTCAGAGTGACCACTGGAGGTCCTCCTCCTCCTCCTCCTCCTCCTCCTCCTCCTCCTCCTCCTCCTCCTCCTCCTCCTCCTCCTCCACTTTATCAGATCTGTAAACTAGTTTTCCTTCTTTCCTCTTCTGACTGAAATGAACACAGTTTTTATTTTTTTTATTTTTTACATGTTTGGACTTGAGTTTTTGTCTTGACAGTGAAGACTAAGAAACTAAATGTCTTATCTCAGCTGGTGTTTAACACAGAACGCCTGAAGGGAAGACTACAATGGAGAATTAAAGAGTCTCACACAGTTTCATCAGAAACTACAACCTCACAGTTCCTGTTAAATTTGAGTTTATAGAATATATTCTAATGCCATCAGATACAGATATTTGCTGTAAGTACATTTTGTAACTTTACAGTCTAGTACAAGTACACTTCTTCATTATCAGGACACATGTAACAAGGTGAGAAAACTGCATTAAGACATTTGAACTTCACTGTTTAGACTTTAGATGAGAGTTCCTGAGGGGGGGTCAGGAGGGCGTGTTGATCGACCAATGAAGCGCAGCAGAGTCTCTCAGGTGTTTCAGGAGCAAAGGCCCAGGTGAGCTCTCTGATGGCTGCTGGGTCCTAGTGCCTGCCACCTGCCTCTCCCTCCACATCAGTAGCCCTCCTGACAGACTGACCCCCATCAGCCTGAACTCCTCTTCCTCCTCACAGGGAACTCTTTAAACTAACCTGCTCTCTCTCTGCTCTCACAGCTAGGAGGCCATCTTGTCTCCCAGCTTTAAACAATCACACGTTCATCAACTCAAGCGTTTCTGCGACCACAACAATCAACAACGTCAACCAATCACAGCTCTACTTACTGAACTGTTAGCCGTGAGATTCATCAGTAGCAGCCTCGTCTGACCTTCATCAACTTCAGCGTCTATCAGACGAAGTGAGGAGAAGGCGCTTCCTATCCTGAGTCTGTGTGTGTGTGTGTGTGTGTGTGTGTGTGTTTGTGTGTGTGTATGTATGTGTGTGTGTCCTCACCTCACTATGACAGTTAGCAGTCCGACTTGTTGGACTGAGTCTCAGTCTGTGCTGCGTTCACAGGATCAAATGTGTTTGTGAACAGAATTGTTGGGAAGGGGATTCTTGAGATGATTCCATTCTTGACAGTGACACGCTATCAGGAAACTCTCTGAATCATGCAGCCAATGAGTCCAATCCAACACACTGGATCACTCTGCAACATTTCAAAAAAGTAGTGACTTCCTATGTTTTGATTAAATGCACTGCAGGCTAGAGGAGGAGGTTCCTCTGTTATAGATCTGTCTTGTTTACGTACAGATAACGTGACACTGTCAAGGTTGATATAATCTCGAGATTCCCTGAATGGTCTTGGTCCGAGCTGCTTGACACTACAGTTGCACTAAGTTCTGATAACAGTTGAATATTATTTTAATTATAACATATATTTTAATTTTGATTAACTGCAGACTGTTCATTCATAATCTGATTATCTTTGTAGTACAAAGTGATGAATTTAGAAAACACATTCAAATAATTTTGTATTTATTTCCACAGCCCTCTAACGCACCTCTTTCATAAATAACACACTTGCTCTTCAATAATGTCATATGTTTTATGTTTGTCATTTCTGTTAGGAAAGGACACACCTGAAGGACACAACTGCCACACCGTTTTCTCCGAGGGGCAAGAAGAAAATGAAAAGCTGATATGAGATTAAAGACCAATACAGGACATTCACTAAGAAACTACTCTTTTATTGTGAACACAAAGATCTGCACACTGAATAGTGTGTAGTCAAACAGGACCATCATTTATTTGTGACAGCTGTGCCCAGTATGGGCTCACAGATGCAGTTTGGTGGTTCCTCCATCCGGCCTGGTCCTCCTCCATCAGGCCTGGTCCTCCTCCATCAGGCCTGGTCCTCCTCCCAGGGAAAGACCGCTCCACCTCAGTCCTCTCCAGCCAAACCAACAGACAGGACATCCGTCACGATGAGGTTTCTCCCAAAGTCTCTGCAGCTCCCTGGACACCACACTGTCTCAGTTGATCCACACTGTGAATATGAGAGGGGAACATCTGTGAAATAAATGCTTTAGACCCGGGCTTTTCAAAGTGTGGGAAGGTGGGCCTCCCCTCAGAGAACATAAGAAAAGCCGCGCCCCCCCTCCCAATTATTATTGCTATTTTTATTATTATTAGGGCCCGAGCACGGAGTGCTAGGACCCAACGGTGTCCTAGCACGAAGTGCGAGGAAACCTATTGTTATTCGTGGTATTATTATTATTCCATATTGCAATGCTTATTTTCAGGCCTTTAGGACGCTGAAAAAGTTGTATAATTTTGCACGGGCGCCAGGACCGGTGAAAAATTTGATATTCTGGAGTTAATGGGTTAAATATTCCAACCTGCTCACTCTCCTATGTTGCAAATGTATTATCTTTTCAATTTACACACGGCATCTATTGCACGTCTGTCCGTCCTGGGAGAGGGATCCCTCCTCTGTTGCTCTCCCTGAGGTTTCTCCCATTTTTCCCTTTAAACTGTGGGTTTTCTTCGGAAGTTTTTCCTTATACGATGTGAGGGTCTAAGGACAGAGGGTGTCGTATTGTCATACTGATATTTTGTACAAACTGTAAAGTCCACTGAGACAAATGTAACATTTGTGATATTGGGCTATATAAATAAACATTGATTGATTGATTGATAGCGCCACCTATAAAAATCCCATTTTGCAAAAAAATTCACAAAGTCGCACCGTAACTCCGAATGACCTGAAATTTTGCAAACATATCCGGGTGGACCTGCTCTACAAATAATCCAATTGGAACCCTAAGCTCCGCCTACTTTATGTTTTTAAATTAGCATAATTTTAAAAACAGTTAAATATTCACTTAAATTTCAAATGTTGGTTTTTCAACACCAAACTCAGTATACAGTATCGCCGGAGGGTCAGACACATTCCCCTAGGAGATGAGCATGTTCAAACGATAAATATTTCCGCCATGAATTAAAACGTACTCGCAAAAAGGCAGGGCTTAGAAAGAAATGCTCATAATTCATCAACAATGTATCCAAACATCACAGATTTTGATGGAAACGTTCAGTCTGTCTTGGGAAATAGGCACACCAAAATATTTTCATTTTGGACTATAGGGGGTGCCAAAAACACCACCAATTTATAACTCAAGAGCGGATGGACTAATCTTTTTTTTTTTTTACACATACTCTCGGGGCAACTACGAACTTAGATTCAAAGTGTCGCAACAAATGCAGAATGTGGGCGTGGCCTATACATTTTTTGAAAATTGCGATAGCATAAAATGAGCTTCGGACGCAAAACTTGGGACACACGTCAGAGCCCACGACCTTTTCGAGAATGTAAAAAAAAAAACGTACATTTTCAAAAAAACTGCTCACTAGCGCCCCCTATTGTGTGGTAGTCGCATATAGTTTCTCAGAACTTCACGAATTTTGGCACAGACATTCTTCATGGAATTGCGGACATATTTGTATATACATTCCATTATCCCCGCCCCCCAAAAAGTCGGCCATTTTGAAAAATGTGCATTTTTTATGCATTTTAAGCACATTCGTGCAAACTCCTCCTAGGGGAATGATCGGAAAAATTCCAATCCAGGACACGTTCAGCCCCTATCCAATATGATACTTAATTGAGAACAACATTTTTGATAGCTCAATCGTGGAGGTCGTAAGCTAACAGCGAATACACAATTTTTCACGATTTACATGTCGCAAATTACTCCAAACTACTCGGATATAGTTAATCCGATATTCACGAAACGCTGTATACATATTGCTATTATGATTGCACACATATTTCAAATTGCCTTCCATTAGCCCCGCCCCCCAGAAACTCGGCCATTTTGAAAAATGTGCGGTTTTCAGCCATTTTACGCACGTTTTTGCGAACTCCTCCTAGGGGAATGATCGAAAAAAAATCCAATCCAGGACAAGTTCATTCCATTTCTAATGTGATGCTAAATTGCGAAGGAATAGTTGATCGCTCAAACGAGGACTTCGTAAGCGAACGGAGAACTTTCCATTTTTGACGATTTACATGTCACGAATTACTCCAAATTACTCCAAACTACTCGCGTATACTTTTTCCAATATTCACGAAACGCTGTATACATATTGCTATTATGATTGCACACATATTTAAAATTGCCTTCCATTAGCCCCGCCCCCCAGGAAGTCGGCCATTTAGAAAAATGTGCGTTTTTCATTTATTTTAAGCACATTCTTGCAAACTGCTCCTAGGGGAATGATCGGAAAAATTCAAATCCAGCACAAGTTCAGCCCCTATCCAATATGATGCTAAATTGAGAAGAACATTTTTTATAGCTCAATCGTGGAGGTCGTAAGCTAACAGCGAATACACCATTTATTACGATTTACATGTCACAAATTACTCTAAATGACTCCAAACTACTCGCGTATACTTTTTCCAATATTCACGAAACGCTGTATACATATTGCTATTATGATTGCACACATATTTCAAATTGCCTTCCATTAGCCCCGCCCACCAGAAAGTCGGCCATTTTGAAAAATGGCCGTTTTTCATGCATTTTAAGGACATTTCTGCAAACTCCTCCTAGGGGAATGATCGGAACAATTCCAATCCAGGACAACTTCAGCGCATATCCAATGTCATGCTACATTGAGAAGGAATAGTCCTTCGCTCAAACGGGGAGCTCGTAGGCTAACGGAGAATGTACCATTTTTGACCAATTATATGTCAGATAAGCTACTGAGGCCTGCCTGTTTGCCTGGCACATCAACTCTCACACACACACACACACACACCACACACACACACACACACACACACACACACACACACACACACACACACACACACACACACACACACACACACACACACACACACACACACACACACACACACACACACACACACACACACACACACACACACACACACACACCTACTGTTAGTCCAACAACGCCCTTTGCTGGCAGCATATTCATTACAACAGACACCTATACACTCGCTAACCCTAACCCTAACCCTAATGTTTATTTGTAGATATCTCCTAAAGCCTACAAATAAAGTGTGAAATGTAGGCCTGTTACATTTGTTATTGAACGATATATATTATACACACTGTTCTGCTTTCTGCACTGACCTCAGCAGCTGTTCTCACTGTAACATCACCTAACATCCAGGGGACATGTGATTAGTGAGTAAACAAACGGTAAAGGGCAGAAAGTCTGATGCACATTTGATCATCTCAAATAACTTATAATCACAACGGGAACAGTTTGCAGAGCTGTGCTTCGTTGACAGAAGTCCAGTCATGCGTCACGCCTCTTTTAAACATCACTGTTGGCTGAAATCGTCTCAGGAGAATACTTCAGTGTACCCTCGGTTATAGCTCCTCCAGAGACACTCCTCTCTCCTCTAAATCAGTGTATCCTCGGTTACGGCTCCTACAGACAGCCTACTTGATAATCGATCCTCGACGAGCCTTTAGAGAAATTTGTTTTCCTTCGAGACGGCGCGCCGAAATCCGTTTCCGGGTCGCTGCCGGAGGACCTGGGAGTCTGGGACGCGAAAATTATAGAAATGAGAAACGGCTCATTTCCCAGGACTCGCACGCGTCTGCTTGACGCCGGGACGACCTGCCGCCCTCCCCGACAGGCGCACAGACGCGAGGGCCCGCTCATCACTGCGCGCACAAGTGCGACCGCAGTTTTAATTATTATTATTATTGTTGTTGTTGTTGTTGTTGTTATAATGCAGGGGTATTATGATCCAGTGGAAAGCCTTTACCTGCTGGCCTAGTTAAACCAAAGTGGTTACTTTCTGTTGGCTGGGCAGTGCAGTTTTACACACCGTCTGATTTGACTTTCTTAGGACCCCAAACTGTTTTTTGGGGGCAGACCCCCTCAAAGAAAAATATATATTCACACACGTAAGGTCATCATCTTAACAGTTTGTTGTGCTCATCGAGTCATCCGTGAGCAGAGCATCAAGTTGCCTATAACAGCTGAATGCAGCGATTAGCATGTTGTTCAGCTGAACGCCTCACAGACTGATTCAGATCAAAACTTTAGTGCGTTGTGATTCGATGCTGAGTGCAGCCGCACTGCAGGCTCTGCTCTGTCACTGCAGACCGCACCTCATTCCTTCCGTCTGCTTGGGTCCGAATGCGCCGTCTCGTTCAAATGAAATCGCCGCCCATCACATTTCCTCGTCACGCCCGGGCCGGGGGAGGGGTACAAGGCTCGCGTCTTGTGCTGCGTTCACTTGCACTCGGACATTAGAGACTTTCTCTCATAAATGTCCGATGAGCCACAACTTTTCTTTCAAAACAAAGCTGCCAACTGGGGTGGCAGCTGGGGTGGCAAGGCTATTTTTAGGGTGGCAGTTGCCACCCCATGCCACCCCGGTAGATCCGCCCCTGCTTGACCGGTACTTGCCTTTGATCAAAGTCAATGCGGAAAACCCGCACTCACACAGGTAGGCGGAGGTGAAGGAAATGAGCACTTTTACAGCCTTTAATTTAAAAGAAGAAGAGGCACCTAAAATGAAGATTGTTATTTCAATACATTTAGTTGATTTTGTCTTTTTAATTGACGCTATAGAGACGCTATAGAGACGCTATAGAGACGCTATAGAGACGCTATAGAGACGCTTTAGAGACGCTATAGAGACGCTATAGAGACGCTATAGAGACGCTATAGAGACGCTTTAGAGACGCTATAGAGACGCTATAGAGACGCTATAGAGACGCTTTAGAGACGCTATAGAGACGCTATAGAGACGCTATAGAGATCCTATAGAGACGCTTTAGACGCTATAGAGACGCTTTAGAGACGCTTTAGAGACGCTATAGAGACGCTATAGAGACGCTATAGAGACGCTATAGAGACGCTTTAGAGACGCTATAGAGACGCTTTAGAGACGCTTTAGAGACGCTATAGAGACGCTATAGAGACGCTATAGAGACGCTTTAGAGACGCTTTAGAGACGCTATAGAGACGCTATAGAGACGCTTTAGAGACGCTATAGAGACGCTTTAGAGACGCTATAGAGACGCTATAGAGACGCTATAGAGACGCTATATAGACGCTATATAGACGCTATAGAGACGCTTTAGAGACGCTATAGAGACGCTATAGAGACGCTTTAGAGACGCTATAGAGACGCTATAGAGACGCTATAGAGACACTATAGAGACACTATAGAGACACTATAGAGACATCTCACTATAGAGACACTATAGAGACACTATAGAGACGCTATAGAGACGCTATAGAGATGCTTTAGAGACGCTTTAGAGACGCTATAGAGACGCTTTAGAGACGCAGCCGTAACACGGCGCAGACGGACCCGGTGGATTCTAGGGGTTACACGTGTACGGTTTGTTAGTTCATTCATTTTAAAATTCACAGAAATCTTGCAAACATTAGATTTGAGTGTGGACATGCAGAATGCCCTCCTGTATTCAAAGTGAAAATATGTAATACGTATAGGAATTGCAGCTGTTGGTCAGTTAAGCACAGTTTATAAGACATGGAAGATAATTGTACATGGGATATGCAATGGAAGACTATGGTAGCTATGGTATGCTCACCCATTTAGCACAAGAAAATGAATGTTCTTGATACCGTTCAACAATTAAGAATACATTGTTAAAATGTATTGTTTGCTGTCTCCCTGCAGTTATTGGTGAGCTTTAAAATGTGTCAAAAATGTCTGGTAATCTGTAAATTACCAGCATGACATGAAGTATACTATAATAAATAATTAGTTTTACAGTTACGATACTGATACTGTAACTTAAAATGATAGCATTACAGTTTCTATTTTACAGTTGAAACACTATTACCGTAAACAAAAAAACAGTACTTTTTAAATGGCAGTGTTTTATTTTATAGTTAGAAATACTATTAACTTCAACACAAATACAGCACTTGGAAGTTACTGTGGTTCATTTTACACTGTTACTGTAAATGTAGTTACTTACTGTAATACCAACCCACTCTCTTCAGTCTGCGTACAAATGACACGACTTTACACATTGGAAATGCGTGCAATAGATACGCAGAAGTCCGATTTTGCGTGCATATGATACGCTAACCATTCCCATTGAGATCTGATGCCGAGTTTTGCGTGCATATGATACGCCACGTTTTGTCCGGCGAACACGTGAACACTCCTCTGAGTTAGTTTCTGTTCTGCTTGAAAGCAAGTCCCTGCCTCCTGCAAAGTGTTCAAACAAACGCTTCAACTCGTACCATTTAGAATCTGTGTGTTTGAATCTGGATCTGAAGTTGGCGTGACGTTGAAGTCGTGCTGCTGGACTCGCTGTAGTTCATTTATAGCATCACGTTAGCATTTAGCTTCTGGACGTTAGATTTATGATTAGAAAATGATAAAAGTAGGGTAGACATGTGGAGATGATCCGGCTGAACAAAACGTGCATTTATCAAACAGGTTCATTTTCCACAGACCTTATTTCAAACTATTTTCCTAAATCCTATGGAGAAATCCCGTTGCATTTTTGTCGAGGGATATAGAATTTGTTTTCCCATACAAATATCAATATTAAATAGATGAAGTACTATAATCCAATATAAAGAGCTGTTTCCATTGTGTACAGACACAACATATTCAATTCAGAAAGTGATTTTGAGTGATTAGGTCACATGACCTGGAAGTTATTGAAGCAATATGCTAATATTACCATACACATAATACTAATAAAACATATTTAAAGTATTCAAATGTAATAAAGAGAGGTGTGTTCAACAAATGTATGCTCTATAGTGGATTTGTTTCACATTCACACGATCGGGAAGCTGTCGATTTATTAAAATGAACATCGTTCTTGTGTAATTGAAAAGTCATTTGTTGATGGTCCCTAAGTGAAAGCCTCGTTTTGCGGATAAGATCTCGCCGTCGTAATACAGCCAACTGCAACAGCAGGGGAAACTGACGCAAACCAAGTTAACAGTCACATCTTATCTGGATAAGTGCTGCAAAGTTATAAGGGATACATGTGTGTGTAGTCTTTAATATTAAAAATGATCGCTGGTAGATAGCCACAGAAGTCGGATCACAGTTTACCTGAGAGGATCAGCTCCACAGCTGAAGACTTCTCCACGCTGCTGTCAAACTGTGAGTAGTGTGCTTCACTTGGAGGCTGTCTGAAGGTGTACACAGGTCTCAGATGGACTTGGTATCACATTAAGAACGATGTACAGTAATAAGTCTGGCAAAAATAACTGGTTTAAATGATTTATTCTAGTTTGCAATGTTTTGAACACACATCCCCATCACCTCAAGTGTCTTTTTGTAGTCCTCGCTGTGCGCGTCCGGATATCGGCATCGCAACCACAACCTCACACACTGGTCGTGAATGTGCATCAAAGTGTTCCTATGGAGCCACATATACCAACAGATGTAAAGGTTCATCTTATCTTATATTATCTTATGAATGTAAACGACAGAAGAAACGATCAAAATGTGTATTTCCTGGTTAGTCGACAGGGCGTTTCCTGGACCTGGAAACATTCGGGGCTTAGTTTACAGTGGCGGGCCAGAGATGTTCTTTTGGGGGTGCTGTTGACGTTTCATAGAGGGTGCTCAAACATGTGGGGCTTCCCATTTGGTACCGGGCGCTACAGTGGAATTGTACTGCGGTCAACTCAGCCGTCTCTCAAATGTGCTTGGTCAAATGAGCAGTTCTTCATTTTTGAGTGCGCGATTAATAGCGCCTTTACGGTAATCGCTGAGAAGCGGCACTAACGCAAGAGTAAAACAATGCGTGTTTTTTCTGCTTCATGCGATACAAATTATTTTGAACACGTGAACACTCCTCTGAGTTAGTTTCTGTTCTGCTTGAAAGCAAGTCCCTGCCTCCTGCAAAGTGTTCAAACAAACGCTTCAACTCGTACCATTTAGAATCTGTGTGTTTGAATCTGGATCTGAAGTTGGCGTGACGTTGAAGTCGTGCTGCTGGACTCGCTGTAGTTCATTTATAGCATCACGTTAGCATTTAGCTTCTGGACGTTAGATTTATGATTAGAAAATGATAAAAGTAGGGTAGACATGTGGAGATGATCCGGCTGAACAAAACGTGCATTTATCAAACAGGTTCATTTTCCACAGACCTTATTTCAAACTATTTTCCTAAATCCTATGGAGAAATCCCGTTGCATTTTTGTCGAGGGATATAGAATTTTTTTCCCCATACAAATATCAATATTATCAAATGTGCTTGGTCAAATGAGCAGTTCTTCATTTTTGAGTGCGCGATTAATAGCGCCTTTACGGTAATCGCTGAGAAGCGGCACTAACGCAAGAGTAAAACAATGCGTGTTTTTTCTGCTTCATGCGATACAAATTATTTTGACCATAAATTCTTAAAAAAAACTAACACTGTTTGACTCAGTCCTAGTTTGACTGCTACCAACAATAACATGAAGTACTTGTACTGTCTTTTTTCTGGGTAATACTCTCAAATTCCCCTCCTGAGAACAAAATCATGCCACTTCTGCTATATTTGATGAGATAAAATGATTTTTAGCCATACATTCTTATTAAAAGTGATACTGTTGGACTCAGTACTTGTTAGACTACTACCAAAAGTACAATCAAGTACTTTTACCATGTACTTTTTGAGAAATACCCTGTCAAACTCCCCTCCAGAGTACAATAATGTATGTTTTCTGCCATCTTTGATGAGAGATAAAAGGATTTTTTTGCCTGAAGTTCTCAGTGAGAGTGGTACTGCTGGACAGAGTACTACATGGACTACTGCCACAAGTACAATCAAGTACAATAATGTATGTTTGTATGTATGTAACATACATAATTCGTGACCAAACCGTTTGAGACCCGCTGAGATAACTTAGACTAAAGTGAACTATCTAAACCAGGGGTGGGGAACCTTTTTCCTCTCAAGGGCCATTTCAATGTTTTCAACATCCTCCGAGGGCCGTACAAATGATTGACCTCTGCTTAAAAATACTAAAATCACAGCCCATTCATTTCACCTTTCTTTCATGCTGTGCAAAGAAAAAGCAACCTTTTAATCCAGATATTTTACCATGACTCGCACATGCATTCACGTGCACGGTTGTGGCATGACCACCAAAACAGAAAGATATGGACACAAGATGTGTGCAAATGTATTTAGTTTCCAAAGATTTTTGCACTTTGAGAGCAACATGAAGAGATCTATGGATATATCTCTCAACACCCAGATGAAACAGAACTGTAAGCAGATTTCTTTTTCTTTATGGATATTTTACAAATCACTCTCCTTTCAAACTGTATTCTTGTTTATTAATAACAACTTTTTGTTACCGTCATATAGTATTTTATACCTGTTTACTTTATTCTCTTATGTTTTATAACTATAATGATCATATAAAGATGTGCCTTCACCTCACTGGTTGTAGAAAAAGCTTCTTATATTTGTTAGCATAGCTAGCTAACCAGATGCTAATAACAACAAAGTTATTGACGGTATGATCAGTGTGACAGATGAACAGATCGCCACTGGGCTTTCAACTAAAGACACAGCCACGCAAAAACTGCGGCATGTGTACGGCTCCTTATGGGTACTGCAGTTTTTGGAAGTGCAGGAGCGGAGCGGCGTTCTGGTGCTCTCCGTCAGAACTGCACCCCTGTCAAACGAGACATATACCACGTGATGACACGTTAGGCTTGTGTTGTGTTCAAGGATCCCGACTTTGGCCAGGAAAAACAGGCACTCGCTTGTTTAATTTTTTTGCGGTCTAGATTTCTTTAATTTTTTTCTTTTTTGGGTGTGTTTATAAATGACCTCGAGGGCCGTACCAAATTGTCTCGCGGGCCGTATACGGCCCGGGGGCCACAGGTTCCCCACCCCTGATCTAAACACTCAGAGAGTCCTTTAGCTCACCTGAGCCTCTCAGTCCAACACAGTCTCACTCCCTAACCGTCCAGGAGTGACGCTTGGTCAGGGACCCGTGGCGTGCAGTTGGGACGCGCCGAGGCTCCTTCAGCTTCATAAACGGACGCAAAGAGCTTTCAACTGATTGCAATATATTCCCATCAACGGCGGTATTTGACGCTCATGGAATTCACCGCACCCGTTTATGTTGGCGGCTCTTAAAGGCAATGTGAGCGTCCATTCCCATTGGATAACGGAGAATTGTACAGCCGGAAGTAAGTATTCTCCTTACTGTCGATTGATCTGACCGTGATATCTGCACTACTCATCAACTCAAAAACACCAGGTTATCCTTGTTAATTAAACGACATTGATTGGTTTAAATTGTGTGCAATGCTTTTGTGTTTTTCCCCTTCAATTCTGAGAAACAACTTGTTTTCTCTGAAATGTGGAGCGCCAAAGAGACTACACTACCCACAATCCCCAGCCAGGGGGGGGGCAAGGGGGGGCAGCTGGCCCCCCACTGTAGAGCCTTGCCCCCCCAGCTTCCCCCCTAACTTTTATTTCCCTAAAACTGTACTAAAACAAACCTACACTATTTCCACAAGCTTCTCAAGCAACGAAACAAGCATTACATTAGTTAAAATTGAATCATTTTAAATATCATTTTAGGCCCGTTAAAAACGCAGCTACGGCCCTGCATTAAACTGCGGAGCAGCGTTCACACAGACCGCGGCTCACACCGCTGCAGAGAGGGAGCGAGCTGTCCCAGCACCTATGGATCAGCTTCTCCTGGGAGCATTTCCCTTTCCACTAGTTTTGTTTTACTAAGGACGAGAGCTTGAAACTAAATATTAATAAAACGCTGCCGTTTGAATCGATAGCGTTTAACAGACGGGCGCTGTTTGGGGCGTTACGTTGCAAAATACTACGCAGACAGCGTTAGCTGGGAGATCGATCACTTTGCTAAACTACGCGGTAGCCTACTATTAAATCCACGTAAACTACACATCACAGCCATGAGGCCAGATCAATGAAACCAGGATACATCCTTTACCGTAAAAACTGGATCCAAACTTGATCAATACTTTCTGATGTTATATTTATGATATGCTACATATTAGCTAGGCTACATGGCCCTAACGTGTAAAGTTATACAAGCATTTGTACCAGTGCTTTTCACAAGTAGACTCTTGCAGGCCAGAGTATAGGAGTGATTCAACAACAACACAAAGACATATGTGAGAAGTGAGAGACCAGGAGGGTCAGAGCAGGAGGAAGAGGAGGAGATGAAGAGACCAGGAGGGTCAGAGCAGGAGGAAGAGGAGGAGATGAAGAGACCAGGAGGGTCAGAGCAGGAGGAAGAGGAGGAGATGAAGACATTAGTGAAGAAGAAGAAATATATGTGAGGAATAAAGATGAAGTATCAGAAAGAGGGCCAGAGTCAGGGATCAGGAGGCAGATGAGACTCCAGCTGGACCACATGGTATGTTCTTATTCTCCTTACATATTCCATCACAGCAGCTCAATCTAGCAGCTCTTAGTATTGACTAATATTGATTGAAATGTGTTGCTGCACAGGTCACCTGTAGCTCTCTGAAGAGATGGGTGATGTCATTTGTGTACTTAATTATAATTAAGTACTTACAGTATGCAGAATTCTGAGTATTCTCTGAATCGGGTGCCTTTTGGGTCTTTATATCTTTGAAAAATGAAACCAAAATGTTTGGTCATAACATCTGGTAGTGGACTACTTACATTTTCCCACCTCAGGCACAAAATATAAATAATTACTAGGAATTTCCTTGAAAAAATGTAACAGGGTTGAAGTTTTTGACAAAAAGTAGGCATGAGACCTTGTTTAGCTAAGATATGGCAACACATGGAAGTCAAGGACATTACAACATTGTAATATTTTGCAAAACTATTGTTTATTTTTGTAATAAACAATTATTTACTATTATTAATTCATATAACAGAGTTGAAATGTTGAGCTTGTCAATCTTAATCTGAAAATACAAAAACTGAAATATAGGTAAGAGAAGAAACTGACACTTTTGTGATGTAATTCCCTCAATGCAGATCACACATGGACTGATCCACACATGGACTGATCACACATGGTCTGATCCACACATGGACTGATCACACATGGTCTGATCCACACATGGACTGATCACACATGGTCTGATCCACACATGGACTGATCCACACACGGATTGATCCACACACGGTC